ACGTCATTTTTAGGATGAATGGAGGTGAAGTACGATGATTCCGCTATATAAAAACAAGGGTGATATCCAAAGTTGCAATAATTATAGGGGGTTAAGCTACATAGCCATACTACGAACGTTTGGAAGAGGGTGGTTGAAGTGAGGGTGAGGACCAATGTGTCCATTTCTAAGAACTTTTTCAGTTTCATGCCGGGGCATTAGACTATGGAAGCCATTCACCTTGTGAGGAGATTGGTGGAGCGGTATAGGGAGATGGAGAAAGATTTTCATATGGTGTTTATTGACCTAGAGAAAGCATATGACAAAGTCTAGAGAGAGGTGCTCTAGCGATGCTTGGAGGCTAAAGGGGTGGTCCGAGTAGCCTACATTAGAGTGATTAAGGACATGTATGATGAAGCTAAGACTCGGTTTAGGATAGCGGGAGGAGACCCGGAACACTTTCCTATTATGATGGGATTACACCAGGGGATCAATTCTTAGTCCATTTTTATTTTATTTGGCGATGGGTACATTGACAAAACACATTCAAGGTGAGGTGCCATAGTGTATGTTATTTGCTGATGACATAATCTTAATTGACGAGACGCAGGGTAGTGCTAACGAGAGGCTGGAGGTTTGGAGGCAGACACTAGAGTCTAAGGGTTTCAAGTTGAGCAGGACCAATACGGAATACTTGGAGTGCAAGTTCAGCAACGTTATCCAGGAAGAGAATATGGAGGTGAGGCTTGATACGCAAGTCATCCCCAAGAGAGGTAGTTTCAAGTATCTTGGATCTATAATACAATGTAACAGGGAGATTGATGAAGATGTCACACATCGTATCGGAGCAGGATGGATGAAGTGGAAGCTCACTTCCGGTATCTTATGTGATAAGAATATACCGCTGAGACGTAAAGGTAAGTTCTACAAGGTTGTAGTTAGACCGACTATGTTGTATGGAGCAAAGTGTTGGCCAGTCAAGAGCTCTCATACCTAAAAGCTAAAAACAGATGAGATGAGGATGTTAAGGTGGATGTGTGGGCATACTCGATTGGATAAGATTAGGATTGAAGTTATTCGGGAAAAGGTAGGAGTGGCCCCTATGGAGGATACGATGCGGGAGGCGAGGTTGAGATGGTTCGGGCATGTTAAGAGGAGAAGTATAGAAACCCTAGTTAGAAGGTGCGAGGGGTTAGCCTCAATGGGTAGTAGGAGGGGTAGAGGTAGGCCTAAGAAGTCTTGGGGAGAGGTTATTAGGCGGGACATGGCGCAACTGGAGCTGACTGAGGACATGGCCTTAGACAGGAGGGTGTGGAGGTCAAAGATTAGGGTAGGAAGTTTGTAGGTAGTCAAGCATTTCTCTTTGTCTTACTTAGTTCGCTAGTATTCGTGTTAGTATGATATCTTTTTATTCATAGATTGCTATTACTACCTAGAGTTTCACTGCATTCTTGAATTCGATCTTATTTTATCTTGTTACTATTCCTACTTGTTGCAATTACCTTTTCATTTTCAGCCGATGGTCTATCGGAAACAGCTTCTCTGGCCTTTCAGGGGTAGGGGTAAGGCTGCGTACATTTTACCATCTCAGACCGCACTTGTGGAAAACTACTTGGTTTGTTGTTGTTGTCGTCGTTGTTTTCGCTTCACAAGAGTCCATTTAACTTAATAGCACTTGATTTAAAAATATTTTTTAAATTTGTCAAACATTAAAACAACAACAATAACAACAATAATAACAAATTCAGTGTAATCCAATCCGTGAGATCTGAAAGGTCATGAATGTATACTTTACCTATATTTTAAAAAGATAAAGATGTTATTTTTGATACATCGTTAGAGTGCCAAACATGAGAATAAGTCAAAAATTACTTTTAACTCAATCTAAACACTCTCACACAGATTTGTATACAGTTAACTAACCATAACTCTGCACAATTAGATGTTAACTAGTGGCAATCCTTTGAGCAATTAGCATTACTTGTTCTGCCAAAATTTCAAATTCAAATCTTGAGAATCGTATAAATTCAGCTGCCGACATTAATTGGTACTGGCTATCATAATATTGGTTAAAGATAAGGACAGTCATCAGATGTGTCGGATAGTAATTCAATTATTGGTCATGGCTCCTGTATATGACAGATAATTTTGTACTGCCTTATATTCAACTTTCATCTTCTGCTTTTTCTTTTTACCAATTCAACATCACACCAACAATTATTATGGAGGTGGTTTTTATTCTAAGGACCCGTCTCTCTCTCTCTATATATAAATATATTTGTTCATAAAAATTTATAAGTTTTTGGAGATTTTTTCTTACTCACAAATTATAATATTTTTTCAAGTGAAATACATATTCAAACATAATTTTAAATTTTAAATATTATTATTCAACTTAACTCTAAATACTACTTTTTTTAAAAAGTATAATTTTTATGTCCAAACGCCTGCTAAATCAGTAATTTTATGTTCAATCTGAGTTATAAAGTCATATTTGTTAGAAAACCCTTTAGCTTTAATATAAATTTTTAGTGTGAATTTGAAGGGCCAATGTAAACGTAGGACACCTAATAGAAACACAAAAGATTAGTTCAACATCACATGTTCCCAAAGTCTGACAAAGTGTTTAAGCTACGAAAACTTAAGCAGTATGGGTACTGTAACGATCAACTTTGATCTTCTCCTTTTTCTTTTTCACTAATTTAACATATCACGAGTTCAAATTCAAACTAGTGTTTAGCAACAACATCTTAGTAAGTAGGTGTCTATTATCTACTCTTCCGTTTTAATTCATGTGATGGTATTTGATTTTGTACAGAAATTTCGAATCTTGTGGTTATTTATACAAAGTTTAAGAATTTTTTTTTTTAATCTTGTGGTATAGAATAATTCATAGATATTGGTATAGCTATAAATCACCTCCATTAAGGGAAAATCGAAAAATTAAATTATTTTTAAATAAGAAAATGTGATAATTTTCTTGAAAGAGACAAAAAAGAAAAATATAAAACATAAATTAGGCTAAAGGGAGTAGGACTTTCGCTGATTGATAGAAATGTTCGGGGACTTACGTAAAAAAAAATTTGTACGGTGTCAATATTTATAGAAGAGAGAAAAATAAATAATACCTATTAATTGTCATATTACCTAATAAAAAATAACTTTAGTCCATTAATTTTATTAAGCCTTAAGTTAAAAGAAGGCCTTGAGTTCAATTCTTAGCTATCTACAATTTTTAACAATAAAAACTCTTTCAAATATTTGCCAAAATAAAGGATCTAGGTTCTATTCTCTACCTCTTAGAGCAAAATTAGCAACTTAACCAACATGCCAAACAACAATATAGGTCAAATGGTATCATTTTCTTTTTCTTATTATTTTTATATAGTATTATTATATATATCTTGTAAAATTTTCCGACAAAGCAGTATCGCAAGACACTGCTTCGTTATACGTGTATCCGCCCCTGAAAGTGTCATCCGGAATTCGAAAGTAGTCCATTCCACCATAATAGATCTCTCTTACGGTAGTCCAGATTACTTCTCCCTCCGTTCACTTTTAATTATTTACTTTGGACTTTTCACGCCCCTTAAGAAATAATAATTATAGTATTTATTTTACCATATAACCCCTAATAATGATAGTATTTCAAAAGGTTTTGGAAAATTTAGAAATGAGTAATTAATGATAAGGATAAAATAAGAAAATAAAATTTATCTTTCTCTTGATTTGTTAAAATAGATAAGTAAAAGTAAAAATATATTTTCAGTATAACTGGTAAATAAAAATAAATGGAGGGAGTAGATTGGATTATCGGTTTGCGTATTGTGTGAGAACACAGTGTGTACGTAAGTTACACGGACAGAATATTTTAACACGCATGCTAAAAGTTAAAAGTGAATTCAAAAAAAAAAAAAAAAAAAAAACAAGAAAAAGCAAAAAGCAAAAAAGGGATGAAGCTAGACGGAATAAGATATAAAAAAAATTATATTATTAATGTGTAAAAGTTAAATTTGTGGTGTAATGACACCTAGTGTTCTAGATTTGTGCATATACATTCTTTCATTTTAAAAATATATATCTTCATACTATATGTGACAATTAAAGCTAAAAGGAGACATAGTGATCTCCTAAATGAAAATCATGTTGTCCACTTCCTTGTACTCATCTCTAGCTTAATTTATATGCCATATCTATTTTTAGTTTATTCTAAAAAAATATTATACTTTATTATTTAAAAATAATTAATTTTAAAACCTTTTTTTTTGCTATGCCATATCTTTTTTTAGTTTATTCTAAAAAATATTATACTTTATTATTTAAAATAATTAATTTTAAAACCTTTTTTTTGCGTAATTTAGTTTAGATTAAAAATTTTAAAATATTCAATTTAATATTTGGTCAAAAACTGTAACATAAATTGAGAACGAAAATTAGTTAGGAGAGACAACATAGAAAAGCAAGTATTGAATTACCAACCTTGAACACAATTTTCCAACAGCCTTCTCATTCTCACCGTTCACGTAGACACTCAATTCAGCGACATTTAATTCTTTAAGTTTTGTTTGAAACTTGAAAATCTAAACTATCTTTTTGCACGGTAGTTATTAATTATCATTTCCATATCTTTTAACTAAACGGTTTCTTACTTTACGTAATATAACCTCATCAAGCGATAAGATTAGTGTTTAAAGAAAATGAAAAGAGGTTTATTACTTCCTCCGTCTCAATTAATGATATGCTAGTATTGAAATTTCGAGAGTCAAACGAATTTTTTTTTACAATAATTTTTCTATATGTCGTTTAAATATTTTAAAATGTTGCTTACTACTATCTAAATTCATAATTAAAATTGACTCTTGAAATTCAAATTATACCACATAAATTGAAACTCAAAGAATTTGTTACATTAAAGAAAGAGAAAGAGTGTTTATTCGTTTGGTACAAACAATCAGAAGAGAGTGAGAGAAAAAGTAGTACTACTTTTTTATTGTACTAAGTAGTGTAATTTATTTCAAACGGTCAAAAAGCAATGTGTCATCCTTGCAGTAATAACCCCTTATAAAACCCCATACCATAGCCAAGATAGAGCATTAGCTCTTACATACTAAAATATTTCTTCTTCTCTCTTTCAAAGATCTGTCTGTGGAAATGGCAAACTCCATGCGCTTCTTTGCAACTGTGTTACTTATAGCATTGCTTGTCACGGCTACCGGTTTGTCTTCTTCTTCCCTATGAAAATTGTGTGTGTGTATGTTGACGGCAGGGACGGATTTAGGGGGGCGGAAGGGGTTTATCTGAACCCTCTTTGTCGAAAAATTATACTTTGCATATAAGATAAAATTTGTTTTGTATACCTTGACACAACCTAAAAGCATAGTTAGCTAGTAATCAAGGGTGTTCAAAGTCTTTGTGAGTTTTCGATTTTCACTAGTCATCGTCTCCTTTAATTTTTTTAACTTTTTCTTATTTGAATTGGGTGGGTGTTTCTTTTAGTTTTAAGCATTTCAAAACCACTTAGGCTACTTTTCTAAGCTCATTAAGCATTTCCTATCAAAAATTATTTATTTATCTCGCCTAAATCCAAAACCTTTATATGAGAGTTCAGATCTCAACTATCTCATCACCACTAGCGGTTACTTATCAAAATTGTCAATGTTATCGTACCATAAATACCATAGGGGGATATATTTCAAGATTTGAGCATTATATTTTCATGTTGAGGATTCTGTCACTAACTCATTCGATTTATTAGGTTTAAAATAAGTTATTTATACTTATCTAATGAATCTTTCAACACTTAAATAAAATCTGAGCCTATAATATTGCATGATAAATTAAACTTTTTACATTCGTCCCTGCATAATATTGCTGTGTTTTCTAAGATGGAGCACATTTTTCAAATATAAAGTAACCTATTCTTTCTTTTTTAATCTTATTTAAAAAGATATATATAACTACTTAAAAAAAACTAATCTTAATGAAATGATTTCTAACCACACAAATTTTTCTGATTTGTATTTAATTAGTTTCACCTAACTTGAGACGGAGGGAGTATATATTTATGTTTTATGAGAATAGTTGTAGTTTGCATCCATTAAATTAAAATTTTGGATCTACCCTTTTCATATGAACTTAATGACTAACTAAGGTTGAGGAAATTTTACAGAGATGGGACCAATGACAATTGCAGAGGCAAGAACTTGTGAGTCCCAGAGCCACCGTTTCAAGGGACCATGCTCAAGAGATAGCAACTGTGCCACCGTTTGTCTGACCGAAGGATTTTCCGGTGGCGACTGCCGTGGATTCCGCCGCCGTTGTTTCTGTACCAGGCCTTGCTAATTGAGAATATTATCCCTTAATTATGTATGTAAAAGTCACTTAATTTGAAATAAGCACTATGATTGTTCAAAGATGGACGTGCTAGCTAGTTTAATTTCTTAAACTAGTTGTCGTGATCTTTGATTGTATGCAATTATGGTGGTAGAAAGGTATGCAATTTCGGTGTTGTACTTTTGGTTTTAAGTAACGTTATGAATAATGGTTTCGGCTTAACTTAATAACTTTGGTCCAAAATTTATGTTTGTGTTAAAAGATTTATTGAATACATATAAATTATTAATTTAAAATATAATAATTTAAAAGATTTAAAATTCATAATTCAAATTTTTGTTACGTCATGTGTGATACTATAATAGTATTAGTAGTAGCAGTAGTGTGTTTTGACTTTTGTGCATATGGGGGCAGATCCGGTTTCATATTTTGTTCAAATTAAAAGAAGGGAAAATAATAATGGAAGATTATATTTATTTACCAGAAATTAAGTAATTATAAGGGGAAAAAAAACTACTAACCCACGGAATTAGTTATTAAATTTTTATATATGATTTTGACATATTTTTGTGTGAAATAACTTCTGAAATGAGCCAAACAAATCGATTTTTAAGATTGTGTTATTACTACTCAAAACTCTCATTAAGAAGAGAAGCAATTCTTGATATTTTCAATTCGGGTTTAATGAATTGATCACATAGATTTATTTTTTGGTTTCAAATTACTACACATCTTGGTACAAATTCACAAGGCCGCTAGGAATAAATATCAATAGAATGAGTTGTTACTTAAAAATTGCATTATTTAACACTAATTAGTAGAGTGGGAATGCCGATGATTTTAATAAGTAAATTCTTTGCGCCAAATCTATAACAAGAGAATATATTACGGTACTTTATGGTTGTACCAACAATACTATTAAATTTCCATATTAGACTCTGCCGAAACAACACATCTACCTTTACAGGACAGGAATAACGATGCGTACACACCCTACTTGTAAAGAAATACATTGAATCTGTTATTTTAATTATTGTTGTTGTCAGTGAAGTAGGAGAAAGACGTCATATTAGTAAAAACGAAAAAAGTTAATTTGAGGAAACTCGTGAAATATAAGGAATTTACATCACCGTGAAATAGTACCTAAGGTACGTAATTAGTTACAATGTCAGTATGTCTGCCTATCGAGAGAAGAGTGGTCCTTAATTAAGCCACCACCAACCCCTTTCCTAGTCCTACTTTTATCTTGCATTCTTGAACCTAATCCTTGTTAGTATTAATGTATTCGAAAATATATTAAAAAAATTAAAACAATGTAAAATCAGAAATGCAGAAGAACAAAATGAATCCGAACCCACTGAATTCACAGTGTTTTCTTAAGAAACTTAATCTCCTCCAAGTATCGGAGGTTTAGGATTATTTTCCTCCTAGGATAGAACGGATAACCTCACTGGTGTGGCGGTACTTCAAACCTCAGTGACAACGAACGCAAAGAACAGTAGTAAATCACACTTATTGCTTTCTTTTATGTTAAAACAATGCAGAAAGAAGAATTAAGGAGAAATCAGAATTTTTCGTAAGGAAAATCTGATTGAATAATCTGCTATTTATAGCCAACATGTTGAGTTTAAACAAAGAGATGCAACTCTTCAGAATGTCTGTTATGGTTGTTCACGTAAAACGACCTTTACGCAAATGGATATTTACGCAAAAAACAGGGAAATCAAAACGCGGAGAAAAAGAATTTGCTAATTTGGATTAAAACAATCTTACGTTAATCTTAATATTAATAAATAAATTTGGTCTAAAAAATTAATCAATCAATCGATCATTTGACCAAATCTGAATCCGAATCTGAAGCCGAAGTCGAGATGAGCAAACGACGACGGCGATGATGCGAGGCCTGCCTTCTTTTAATTCTTTAGAGCTAGAAGAAGACCAATTGTATATATACCCATAAAAAGTCTTTTCCTCCTCCAATATGAGACAATGTCTCTTTGTCAAGGAGGGAAAATCAAAATTTTATTTTTCCCTCCATTTTTCATTCACCCTCTTTTAAGCTCTAAGAAGCTTAAGCCCAACAATTCCCCACATGAATGGGGAATGGCTATAACATGGAAATATGCATGAAAAACTGTGTGATTTACAGACAAGGATTAATCGCATCTGGATAAGTAGGTTTCCCTTTGAACTTTCCATAGTGAACTTATACCGGATATACTCGATCAATTGGTAGATTTGATATCCTTGAACCGTCAAACTTTGGTGTATACCTAGATAACCATAAGTCATACAACCAACCCTTAAATGTGTTTGATTCTCATTGTTGTGTTCGTTTCGGCCATGAACATCGTCTGGTTTCATAAGTGCGTAGAGAAGTGGCCTTGTAAAATTCTCCTTGAAGCGGCTAACACTTCTCACTTACATAGGTGATTCCTAAACGTGTCATCCCGTAGATACATTTTTTTTATATATCCCGTATCATATTTAGAAACCATTAAAAAGCATTAATACTTTATCCTTGGTACTGAACATTGTCTCATCACGAGAATGGACCAAAAAAAAAATTAGTTGACGATGTTGAACCGTCATTAATGACTTTTTTTGATCTCCTTGAACCTAGATTTTGGGATCTCTAGTTTCTAGGTAGAGTTACCGCTATAATGACTTGTCCTCGACCAAAGTCCCATTCCCTTCGATGATCTTTCAACTACCTCTGTAGTTAGGCCTTTCGTAAGTGGATCCGACACATTGTCATTTGACTTTACGTAGTCAATTGTGATGATCCGTCTAGAGAGTAGCTGCCTAACGGTTTTATGTCTTCGTCGTATATGACGAGATTTACCGTTATACATAACGCTCACAACCCTTCCAATTGCCACTTGACTATCTCAATGTATGCATATTGGTGCCAACGGTTTGGGCCAAAATGTAATATCTTCCAAGAAATTCCGAAGCCATTCAGGTTCTTCACCGGCTTTATCTAAGGCTATAAATTCAGCCTCCATTGTAGAGCGGGCAATACACGTTTGTTTGAATGACTTCCAAGATACTGCTCCTCTACCAATAATGAATACATATCCACTCATGGACTTAGAATCAGTTGAACCGGTGATCCAATTTGTACCACAATATCCCTCAATCATCACATGATAATTATTGTACTGCAAAGCAAAGTCTTGGGTATGTTTTAAATATCCCAAAACTCGTTTCATCTCCATCCAATGAGATTGACCTGGATTACTCTTGTATCGACCCAATTTACTTATAGCACAAGCTATATCTGGTCAGGTAGAATTCATGATATACATTAAACATCTCAGCACACGAGCATAATCCAATTGTGATATGTTTTGGCCTTTGTTCTTTGCAAGTGCAAGATTCACGTCAATTAGAGTCTTTACAACTTTAAAATCTAGGTACTTTGAATTTTTCAAGTACTATTTTAATGTAATGAGATTGCAACAATGCCAGTCCTTGAGGAGTCTTATGGATCTTAATACCCAGTATTAAATCGACAACTCTCAAGTCTTTCATATCAAACTTTTTAGTTAGCATACGCTTAGTTGCATTTATGCTAGCAATGTCATAACTCATTATAAGCATATCATCCACATATAAGCAAACAATGACTATGTGATTTGTAACATTTTTAATGTACACACATTTATCAAATTCATTTATCTTAAAACTATTTGACAACATTGTTTGGTCAAATTTTGCATGCCATTGTTTGGATTTTTGTTTTAGTCCGTAAAGCAACTTAACAAGTCTACATACTTTCTTTTCTTTAACTGGAACCACAAACCCTTCAGGTTGTTCCATGTAAATTTCTTCCTCTAAATCTCCATTTAAGAAGGTCGTTTTAACGTCCATTTGATGAATTTCAAGACCATATACCGTAGCTAATGCCACTAACGGTCGTATGGACATAATTCTTGTAACTGAAGAGTATGTATCAAAATAGTCAAGATTTTCTCGTTGTCTATACCATTTGACCACAAATGTTGCCTTATATTCGTCAATAGTACCATCATATTTTATTTTCCTCTTAAAAATTTATTTAGAACCCAATAGTTTATTGCCTGGAGGAAGATCAACCAATTCTCATGTATAGTTGTTTAGTATGTATTCTATTTCACTATTGACTACCTCTTTCCAAAATAATGATTCGGAAGAAGTCTGTAACGACCCAACCGATCGTTTTGAGTATTACAGCCCCGTTTTCCTGTTTACTGCTCAACTTATACTTTACAGTTATTTTATGACTTATCGGATTAGTTGGATAGGGTACAGAAAGATTTCGGAGTAAAATGAGACACTTAGTCTCATAATGAAATACTTAAGTTGGAAAAAGTTGATCAGATGTCGACTTATATGCAAACGACCTCGGAAAAGAATTCTGATGATTCCAATAGATCTGTATGGTGATTTTGGACTTAGGAGCGTATCCAGAAAATTATTTGGAGGTTCATAGTGGAATTAGGCTTGAAATGGCGAAAATTGAATTTTTGGAAAATGTGACCGGGGGATTGACTTTTTGATATCGAGGTCGGAATCTGATTCTGGAAATTGGAATAGGTCCGTAATGTGAAATGTGAATTGTGTACAAAATTTGAGGTCAATCGGACATGATTTGATAGGTTTCAGCATCAGTTGTCGAAGTTGAAGTTTCAAGGATCATTGATTTTAAATTTAGGAGTGATTCGTCGTTTTGATGTTGTTAGGTGTGATTTGAGGCCTCGAGTAGGTCCGTATTATGTTATGGGACTTGTTGGTATATTTGGTAGAGGTCCCGAGGGCATCGGGTGAGTTTCAGATGGTTAACGGATCAAATTCGGACTTAAGGAAAATGCTGGAACTACTGCCTTTGGTGTGATCGCACCTGCGAGGGTCTTGGCCGCAAGTGCGGCGTGGTTGGCACAGATGCGGGCCTGGGGCAAACATAGGTGCGAAGGGGGAATGTGCATATACGAGCATGCAGATGCGAGAAGGGCGCCGCAGATGCGAGGCTTTAGAGGGCTGGCTGTGTCTGCAGGTGCGCATTTTCGTCCGCAAAAACGGATGCGCAGGTGCGAGCCCAGGAACCTTAGGTGCGTAAATGCCTAGGAAGCGTAAAAAATGAGGATTTTCCGAGATTTTTCTCATTTTGGACATCTTGGAGCTCGATTTGGGAGACTTTGGAGAGGAATTTTTCCACACAAACTTGGGATAAATGTTCTTGACTCCC